TAGCACTGGCTTAAATTACTCAAGGAATGTTAAATGTTTCCTTGTAGGGAAAAGGCAAATATTACTATTACCATGTCTAGTCAAATTTATTATAAACTCTCTGACCCCGGGCAGAGAGGATTTCCAGACGGGGCTATGTCGAAGGGCAGTCCCGTCACGGGAGATGGCTACCCGACTCCGTTTTTTACAGGGGTCTACGGGGAATTTTTGGCCGAGCCTACAGGCTCGGATACCCCAACAATAAATTCGACCTTGTGACACATCCGACCGCGTGCGGCAGGTAGTGAACATCGCACTTTTACCATCATTATGCGCTGTGAGTGTCAAATTTTCCAAGTCATTTCTTCATTATGTACTCTAGAAACTTCATCTGTTTCGTTATGACGTTAAGTGCTTCCATTTTCTCTAAAACTTCGTCGTTGCTCATATATTCAGTCCGTGGTAGGGCACCTCAAGGTTGTGGAATAGTAAGCAAGCTTGTCTTGCTAAAACAATTACGTTTGAGAAGTGAGTTCGATTCTTACTGGGTACCCTCTACTTTCTTCCTTGTGGCACATCTAAGCTACGCTTGGAAAATCACTTTATTCAGTCCGTGGTATTTTGAGGATCCTTCTGTAGAACCACGTTCGCATTGACTCTCTTCATCAGTGAGGAGATTGTCCAGCTTTCACTGGGCATTTAATAATATAATTACTTGTCATTTTCACACTATTTACATTAGTCTTTCTCCTTTGACTTCTCTCTTTCTTCTTCGCTTTTGCCTCCGTTCAGATGTGACCCTTTCTTCTACTTCGTCGCCTTCTGTTTCGTATTCTTTTGTTTAATTATTTATACACAGTCACCAAAACCGGAAGTGGAATCGCCGAGCCTAAATTTTAAATTCCAGCCAATTCTGTTTGTGTTCAGTTCGAATTTCTTTTTTTTTCCAAGTTCTTCTACAAGCTTTTGTCTTCTTTCGCTAGGCCGATGCACATATGGATTTCTGTTGCCCAAACATGGTGATCACAAGAAAGATGAACACAACAGATCGATTTTAAATCATGTAAACGATATAATTTCATTGTAAAACAAATCAACGTTAGAGTTAAAATAAATGACGTCACTAATTTAATAAAAGGCAGTGAAAAGTATATTATTTTTCCTGGTAAATATTTTACTTCAAAAATGCTGAATTAACTTCAAAATTTAAAAAAAATATATAAAGATACAACTGCTGCCAGTACGCAGATATATAAGCCACTGGCCTACGGAGACTCTCTTGGATAAATGGAAGTTGAAGGTCTTGAAGCGTGGAATAATTATTGATAGATGGAGGACAAGTGTCGGCCTGGCAGTTACTTGTTAAATTCGCTGGTGATGGATGGTCCATTTTGGTGCAATATGCAAACATTGGGGATTACATTCAAGTAAAGAGTTAGAAATTCAAGTATTGGACTGGCATTTTCTCAACTGTTCGGGGTTGGGGCTTATTGGTTGGATTGTCGTTATCTACAGAATTTTTTTTTTTTTTGTGTATGTTCATGGAAATACTTGGAGATGTTGTTGGACAAGATTCGCCGCGGTCGGTGGCATATCAGAAAATAGAATCGACACGACGTGTTCAAATTCAGATGGCGGTAACACCACCTCGTTGCTTTATCTTCATTTACTTTTGTCGCTGAAATTCTTCAATAGCCGAAGAAAAGAAACAACACTGTTTGTAATAAAATACAATGTTACAATGTTCTACAACTGTCAAAAATAAGGATCGTCACGATTCAGCTGTGAGGATTAGAGTTCTTTCTATAGCCAAATATAACTGCTGGGGCACCACGAACCGGTGTAATGGTTAACAAGATGGTTTCTCTAGAATAATTACGATTGAGTAGTGAGTTCGATCCTCACTGGGTGCTCCCTACTTTCAGCCTTGTGTCACATTTAAGCTACGCTTGGAAAATCACTATAACAGTTGTAAAACTCTAAACAATTTCCCTCTCTTTGAAGATATTCGCAATTTAAATTTATAATGCGTATATTTTTATTACAGGAATTAATCTAAAAGATGTTTAAGCAATTAATGGATTGATTTAAGCCAACATTATATTTATTGGCTGATGAGATTTTTACGGTTTAACAACTCTTTGCAGGTTGCTGAAAGCCAGAACATACTTTTAAATTGTAAGACTATTTTTGGAATAATGGTTTTATTCGTTATAAGAGTTTTACTAATTAACCCTTAGGTTGGGGGTAAGATGTGGATTCATAACTTTACCAAGAGTATTTGCGCGTAAGTGAATATAATGAAAACAACGTGTATTGGAACTCGGCTATCCGATTAACAATTATTCATTACACTAATGTCACATCTAAATTTAATGCACCTGGTATTCCCAAGCGGTCACCCATCTACTGTAATTCCCCATGTATAATACGCATTCATTCATAACACGCACCCCTAAATTTTTACTGAAAGTGTGGGAAAATGCTTCTACTCACGTATAATACGCATCCCTTGTTTGGTAATGAAACCCTATAAATTGTCACTCTCCAATTTCATTACGTTATTATGTTAGTATCACATTTTCGTATGTTTGTGGTGAGTAGACATTTCACAACAGAAATCAACCTATTAAACGTAATGTTTTAAAGTTTTTTTTAGCTGTGCATAATTCGCACTCCTAATTTTGCTAATTTTTTTAGAAAAACAAAAGGCGTATTATAGATGGAGAATTACTATATATACTGACAAGACTCGATGTTTAATTTCAGTTATCATACGGGTACCGGTGTTTCAACGGGATGTCGTCGTAATCCCGAGATTATTTTATATTATATTTAAATCTTAGACGTGTTTCAGTAGATATCTATTCTTTTTAACAGTAAAAATAATGTCTACCTGCGGAAATATGCAAAATATTGATGAAAATTATACTTCCAATAATAACCACACCTGTATTGCATTTTTAATATATGAAACCATATTCAAGACAAGCGTGCCTTACAATAAAGATACGAGAAGTCATTAACGCAATACAAATCTAAATTACCATGCATAAGAAATACGCATCTTTCGTTTGGGCATTCTTAGTCTGTCATACCTGTTTGATCCGATATTGGGGAAAGAAGGTTTGCGTCCCTTTAGAAAGTGCTTTAAAAAAGATTGAAACGGTTCCACGTCCTGAGTATGACGATAAATTACATCCGCGTCCTGGGTTAGACGATAAACTATGTCCAACAGCAAGGCCTGCGATCAGGAGGTTTTTAGGAGCGTGGAACCACCTCCTAACTGCTGGTGTTCCCAGGTCCACACTGACTCGTAGTGGTAGCACCTGTTAGGGTCCCAACTACGGGCAAATAGTTAACCCCCACAATGGAGTCAAAACAATGAAAGTCTAAAAATAGGTTTTAATACCAGAAATACTTTTGTAAAAAATTATTACCAGCAATATATTTTTCAAAAAAAAAATATTACCAGTAATATATTTTTCAAAAAAAAATATTACCAGTAATAAAAATTTTGTCGGCATTGAGGTTGATATGCCGTAAAACAAACCAAACCAAATTGTTCCATACCACCATATATACGTTGTGTTAAAAAGTTTTATGTTTTTCTAATTCTTCCTATCTGTGGCGTGTTCCTTAAGTACGTAAGCGATCATGGTTCTTCACAACGTCCTGTTTTTCATAGCTCTTAAAAAATTAAATTGCCCCACTCTGCATTGTTTTTTCTATCCATTTGGGACATTACAAAGCCTACATATGCTAATTTTTGTTTCGTACTCGCAACGTAAAAAAAGTAATTTTTAAATAATTACTTAATTTTTTTTAACCCGTCACTATTTCTAATTACTACAAACGGTGAAGTAATAGTTAGCGGCTCGGATTGAAGAATCGGAGATCCGAGTTCGAATTCCAGTCGAATTCCATTCACTTACGTGCTAATACCCTTAGGAAAGCTATGAATCCTCTTCTTCTCCCCCCACCAGATATGGGTAAATGACAGACCAGGTTTTATAGCCTTTAATGACAGCTGGTCTACCGCAGAAAGAAATGGCAACCTACTGCGGAAAAAATCTGCCTCGTCAGTCATGTATCGAAAGATACATGATCGTCTATCACGTATGGAACATAACTGAATGACTATAATGTTGTATTTAGTGTACTCACTATATATAGGAGAATAGGAAATCAATTAATCCATAAAGATATTGTCTTTGAGAAGTTTTATTAATATTCCAAGATTTGCCCGGAAATCTAAAGTCATTCTCTTTGTTACTTATACTCTTGCCATAATATTTATAGTTTCCTTTGTTTATATAATTCTTTAGGGGGAAATTATTTTTGTAGAGAAGAAAAATTCTGTAAAAACTAACCTTTCTCCTTTGGCTATTTAACGAACAGGGAAAGCTTAGAGGTTACAGAATCTGTCAGAAATATCAACAATTTTCAAGAGAAAGTTGAAATAAATTAACCTACAAAATAAATTAGAGTTCTGTTCGAATTTACCTGTAGGTTACCCGGATCGGTAAGCAGCTGACGCATACCCGAAGTCACAATGACAGTATCGTTGTGATATCAGTAAGAACGATTAGAACAATACTCACTATATAAATAATGTAATACCTTTTTATCAGATGAATTTAATCACAGCACTAGATTGGCGGTGAGGTCTCATCAATTCATATCTGAATTGGCTAGATGTAACCGTAAGTTCTACCCAGTTCTCGCACTTCTCGCTTGTGGAACTCACTTCCGGCTTCATGCTTTCCGGCTTCATGCTTTCCGGCTTCATGCTTTCTGGCCAGCTTTGATTTTCGAAACATAAAATGTCAATTCAATGTCTACTGTCGTGATTACTCTTCTATTCTTCACGCTTTCTTTTCGTGTTCTTTCACGCTCAGTGTCCTAATGGATTCACTGCCTTGGATGGTGTGATTAAAAAATCCCAAAACCTCAGACCTATACGGTCAAATCCTGCTAAAATCGATCGATGGAAAATTAACGAGCAAGTAAAGTACTTTTTATGCTTCGTGGTCAGTACTTAAATCGAGGAAGTACTTATGAACAGCAAACACCAAAAGTGATTGCATCAGAGAAGTAAACCTTGACAAAAAGAATCCCATTATTGCAATTCAAGAATTTTTAAAAATATCGGTTTTGGGAACGTCAGACTGTTGTTTCAGCTCGTAAGTTACCGCTTGTAGGCCAAGAAACGCCAATATTAACAAGAAGATATTATCTCTATAAATGAAATTCTACAAACGGTATTAAAATTTATGAGCGCTAATTGTATCAAATCACTTGGAATGTTACTGAACAGCCTTGTGTTAACTAAATCTAATGTTCTTTCGACGATGATACAAAAACGAACGCTTTATAGAAAATGAAATAACATGAAAGTCTTTGAAAACAGTATTTGCATTTTATTGTTCGGAATTAATGTTTGTAAAGAAAAGTTAGAATAAATTTATTGCTTAAAAAACTGAAAGCCTTTGTTATGGCCATAAAGTTTTTCTGACATATCTTTTTCCTCAGCATCCTGAGGGTTTATTTTTTATTTCACCGAGTTTGGTGCATTCGTCAAATTGTAGGCCTGCATGCATGTACATACACACACATCTAAATCCAGAGACAATGGCTGTAATGAGGTGGCTGCTCATATCCCATCTGAGTAAAGGGTCAGTATACGAGCAAAATCCAAAATATCTAACATTAATTTGCAAAGGAACATTCTTTCCTCGTACTTTTATTTATCTGCCTCTATAGCCCAGTGTTAGCTTATGTCTAACTTTACAATTTAAATAGATATGATAAAGAACAAGTAAGAAACAGATCTTAATCTAGAATGTTTCACTTTATTAAAGCTTCGTCAGGGTTAGATTAAGATCTGTTTCCTACTTGTTCTCTATCATATTATTTTGTCGGATTCCTACCCATACTCGAGTGTGTGTGTGTGTGTGTGTGTGTGTTTGAGATGAATATAACCCCGGAAAGTATCCTTTGAGAGAACCATTGACCCTGCTGGGCGGATGAATGAATTTGGTATTATTATTGTGATATTTAGCCAAATAATGCAATGTGGACTTATTTGTATCTCTTTATATATTAAATGTGACTGATAGATAGGTGGGATCTGATTGAGATAGATAGATAGATAGATAGATAGATAGATAGATAGATAGATAGATAGATATAGAAAGAGAGAAAGAAAAATAGGCTGCGATAGATATAGATCTAGAGAAAAATAGATTGCAATAGATAGAGAGAAAAACAGAAAGAGAAATAGCCTGCGATAAATAGACAGCGAGAAAAATATACTGCAAGAGATAGAGAGAAACCGAGTGAGAGAAAGGGAGAGAGAAACTTTAATTAGATAGATAGATAGATAGATAGATAGATAGATAGATAGATAGATAGATAGATAGAAACGGGGATAGAGAGACAAGCAGAAATAGACTGTGGTAGATATATATCTACAGAGAAGTAGTTTCCAACAGATAACAAGAGGAAGATTGCGATAGATATCCTGCGACAGCTAGGCAAAGAGAAATATATACTGCAAGTGAGAGAGAGATGGAGAATAGCGTGCGATACACACACACACACACACACACACACACATACATACACATATATATATATATATTGTGTATTTGGGCAACAATCCCTCTTTTAACGACTGACAATGTACAGTAGTTGAGTCTTTTACATAATTTCTAATGACTTGGTATTTTTTTCCAGCACCTATAACTTAATGTGAGGGCACTCGACGTGATGTAATGTTTACCAACTATTTAGCGAAATATATTTAAACTGAATAGTGAGTTTGATCTTCACTGAATGTGTCATACATTCGGCCTTGTGCCACATCTAAGCTACGTTTAGAAAATAAACATATTGGTGGCCATACTTTCGGCCTTGTGCTACATCTAATTTACGCTTGGAAAATCTCTATAACTTAACGTGAAGCAAACGCTTGTTAACAACGGTTTTCTAAACAATCTTATAGATTACCATATAATTTTTTTTCTTTCTAAAGTAACCAATAGCAAAACTGAACATACAGAAAAAAAAAATAACATTAACTTTTTCTACAAAAATCAAACTCATAGTAACAATAAGTCATACAAATCTTCACTTATAAAAGTCATAAAGTGATGCACAACCCAAGTCAACTAAAACATAATTAAATTATTTATTACAAAAAAAAAATGTAAAACCGCTAACCTCATCGTCAAAAATAATAATTCACCTGTAAGATCTAAATTACAGAGAATCAATATTACTTACGAATTTCCCTTACAGGGCCGTGTTCCTGATCAATCCAAATTTGTAAATAATTATATTGGATATACTACATAGCTCTATTAGGTCTCATTTAACTACACATGGAGACCTATCAAAAGTTAATCCGTAATATAGTCATTGATAATATACCGCCTATATATATATATATATATATATATATATATATAGAGAGAGAGAGAGAGAGGGGAGAAATACATTACAACAGATTGATAAAGACTGTGATGGAGAAATAGCCTGCGACAAAGAAAATATACTGCAAAAGAGAGAAAGAGAGAGAGAGGGGAGGGAGAAAATAGAGCGAGACAGATAGATAGAAAGAAAGAAAGAAAGAAAGAAAGAAAGAAAGAAATAACTCGTAATATGTTTAATATCTGACTACATGGGGAATTTATTTTAAAGCATTTCGTTGCAACACTAATTCTATTTAATTATAAATAATTGCCCATCTCTCTTAACCTATAAATTATTACGCTCGATGCAATGATTTGCAGTTATCTTCTTTCTCTTATTAAGACATTAAAAAGGAGAGAGAGAAAAACAAAAAAAACCTAAGATGATTCTTGAATATGCGTTCTTTTTAACTTTTTTTTTAATACTTATTTAAATGTATAAAAGTACATTACGAAGTAATGTAATAATTATGATTTTTTGGACGAACAGATTCATCATCTCATATTTAAAAAAGATGGAAATGTCATACTGTATATTAGGGGTGATTACCTAGACTTAAATTATTCGAAATGATTCAATTCGCTTTACAGCTGCTGATTGTTAAAAATATTACTTTTCTATGCAAAGACTTTAATCATATGTAAAAATATTCGAGCTCTTGTTTTTGTGTTTGTATATCGGCGACTCAGGGTCGTGTAATGGCTTGCTCACTTGTCTTATTAAACATTACTACTACGTAATGAATTCAATGCTAACTGGGAGCCTCTTATTATAACCTCTATTATTTAATCGATTATTCATTATTGGTGGATGTGGGGTGGTGTAATTCATATTGGTTAGGAATAAGTTCGAATTACAGTGGATGGTGTTACGTTAACTTATGCGCTAACACCCTTGTGATAACTATGAATATTATATTTTCACCGCACCAACAGCTATAGGTAAAAAGCAGAAAAAGAATGGGCTCTATAACCAGTCTAGGAAGGGGACTTTAACTTGTATCTTAGTGATAAGTTATATCCGGCAGCAAGGGAGATTCGAAGCTTTCAGGAGTGTATAATCACCCTTAATTGATGTTATTCAGCACAGACACGGGGTGATAGCACCTGTTAGGGTCCCAACAATGAAGGGATAGTGAAACCCCGCCAAAAAAAACAAAAACACGACGGAAGTATAAAAATACATTGTTATATAAAAAAATACTACCAATACATATTTATAGTAAAATTACCAACAATATATAAATAATCATTACATTAATCCATATAATGACCTACAACTTCTTCCAAATATTCCAAAATATAACTTCAAAAAAATTACAACACAAAACACACATATCACCGCGTCTGTTAATTACGTTCGCGCAAACATGTATATGCACAAAATCTGATTATTATTTACCATTATTTACATTATTCGGACTATTGTCCTCATCTTTGTCGCCATATTTATTACAACGTTTCGGTCGTTGTACGCTCCAGCCTTCTTCAGGTGGTTGGAATGTCGAACTGAACCCTTTATTTCGCTCAGTGGGGTAGACTGTTCTATTTCCACGTGCCATTGAGGACACATGGCACAGAGGATAAAGGCCGAAGAAGGCCGGAGCGTACAACGACTGAAACGTTGTAATAAATATGGCGACAAAGATGAGTACAATACTCCCAATAATGTAAATAATGTACATAATGCCTCATCTCAGAAATATAGAGAGTCATTTACCATGTATTCAATTGTGAAACCAGAATAACATCACATTATTATTAGTTCAAAGCTCCCAAGAATATTACATTTCGTGATTAAATGACCCATAAGGATTTGATACGCTGTTAAACAGACAAAATATATTCTAACCATCCTGGAAATTGTTGGGCTTCGTCACACTGTCTTTCCCACGAAACACAATTGCTGCCTGGGCTGCAGTACATGTCCCTACGACCCAAACGGGTTACGGGTCTCGGGATCGTGATTAATTACTCATCCCGGCCTTTCTCAGATGTATATAATCGTAGACAGTAACATTATATGAATTGGCAACCAAAACATAACTTCAGTCATCGTGGGCCAATTGTCCTAATAGCACTCTTTATGCTTAGAGGTTATTTCTTTTCAAAATATTGCTGGACTTCTATGTAATATCTAATTTCAGTATGGCATTTAATGTTAGGCAATTACAGATGAAAAACAGTCTAAGAGCAACTCAGATGAGGTCCTAGTGACAGTCTCTGATAATACCATGGAGAGAACAAGAGAAACGAAGAAAGAATAGGAGCTACAAAGAAAATACTACCAATAGTCAGAAAGAGACAAGTGAAATGTTGAATCACATAACGTAGAAAGAAAGCTTGGAGAATCTAACTCTCATCGCGCATAAACATGAGAGGTAAGGGGAACATTTAGTAATATACTTAACGAATCTGAATTAAATGGATGGCTTAATTCAAATAATCAGGAAAGAGCGTTCGAAGAATTTAAAAACGCACGGTGCATATTGAAGACAGAAGCAAGAGGAAATAGCAACTCCACCTTCTAGACTATTCTGAATAAATGGTTTGTAGACCAAAGGCGAGCAAAGGCATAGTCGGCTGATAAAGACTAAGAGATATTTAGAGTAACAGATGACAGGGATGGGCCATGATCGGTCACTTCCTTCGACAACATGACACATAAAAGAAGAAATTTTAAAAACAGTCTTTTTAGATCGATAATTTATGCTGTACTAACTGTGAAAACTCGTCAATGTTGAGCATACATACTATTAAATTAGTTTCATTGACATGTTTTCAAACAGTATCGATTTGTGGCATGTGCACGCGTGTGCGCAATTCAACAAACACTCACACCATTGAAATAATGATCAGGAATGAAAGCCTTACTCATTATTTGTGTTTTGAATCATCTCCAGATTTCCATGGATTTTTCGTACTTTTTTTTCTTCTAATATTTTATTACTGCCGTTGTAAAACTTCTTTTTTTTTACAACTATAGAGATCTATTGGTCATAGAGTTTGACAATGCACTTTTGCAAACAGAAATGTGACTGCGTTTTGGCAAGCAGAATACCCGGAAATTGATTGGAGCGCTCGTAAATAAAAGGTAAAGAACAATAAAAGGACAGAGAGATCGGGGCTCTAATAGGCAGTCGTGTCTGTACTTGTTCCAAATTCTGTACTGAGACTACTTAACAGTCTCCTTTCGTTGTTTATGGTGACAGTCAGAACATTGACTAATTTTTTCTCAATCTCTCTCGATTTCTCTTGATGTGTGTTTTCTTCAACTATATTTCCTAAGCCATGTCTGTTATGACAAACAGATGTATTTTATGTTCTTGTCAGTGGCACGTTACCAATACTTCAATTGAGAATGACAGTCCAATATAACATCGTAAGTATGTTATTAGCGAAATGTTACTTTGCGAAAAAGCCATGTTGAATCGCGACTCTCCAACATACACATGTCAATAAATAAATTTCGGTAATATTCTTCTTCTCAATTCTCGATGGTATCGTTCGATGTGTGTCATTTTTATATATGACGGTTAACAAAAAATATTTATCTTTTATAGAAACTACGAAATTTTATACTCCCATGTTCTCCTACTTGTCAGTTTAAGGTCGTTATTTGTGATTACAGGAGAATCTAGTTAGAAACACGGAAAAGTGCTGAACGGCTATATAATATTCACATTATTTCACAAAATAGGCGCCGTATCTCGTCATGATTTGGGAGATCATGGCTTTTCCTAACTCTATCTTATTTAGCACTGAGTAAGATTTGACTTTTTGTTATCCATCCTAGTCCCTATTCTCCATTCCTTTTAGAAAAACTGGTTAAATAGACTAATCGATGTTTCTCTCTGTATATTTTGTCTTTAATATATCCTGAGAGTTTAAAGTTTTTAACTATTCATTCTTCATTATATGTCCGATAAATTTCAACTCTTTTTGATTATAAGAGTAGCTGTCATTTTCGTTTCCTTTTCTTTTTCTTTTTTTATTTTTATGTGCCGTGTCCTTTAAGGACGTGGGTGATCATGGCTCTCCACTTCCCCCTATGCCTTGTGGTTCTCAATGTTTCGTCCTTCTGCCACCACCCCCAGACCACGTTCTGTCGTCTACTTGCTTAAACCAGCCAGCTATGTGATACGGTGCTTTCCTTTGTCTGTCTTTCCTTCTATTCGACCTGTGACTATCAGATTATTCCAAGCCCTCCTTTCTTATTATGTGTCCCAGGAAATTCAGCTGCATTTGGAACGTAATAACTTTTTTTTATTCTTCATAGCTATTAGAAATATGTGTATTATATTATCCCTACGAATCATTGTTATACCATCTATTTGCATAAGCTGTTTAGATAAGATTACTCGCTATTTCCTACTGTCCTTATTAATATACATTAAAAAGATGTTGGAAGAGAGTTCCACAAGAGATAATTGCGTGAGAAAAAATAATTAGCTCTGGATTTAAGGTAATAACTAACAATTCCGACTGTGAAACTATGAGACCTAGCTGTCAACATAGTACTTGGCGGAAATTCGTGAATTCTAGGTACCAACGAGGAAAGCTGATCAGAATAATTCCCGTGAAAATCTTTCTAGAAGAGGCAAATGTGAGCTACGTTACGTCGGCATTTCAGAACTTATAACATTATCGATTCTTGTTTTTCAAGAATCTCTAGACACATAGCAGAAGCATCAGACCAAATACGGCAGCAGTATTCGATACACTGACAAATGGTAAACTTATGAAATTTGAAAATAAATTCTGACGAGAAAATAGTTTCTAGCAGCAGTAGTAGCATTTTTCAATATAATCATTCTACTTTATGTGAGCCGAATACATATGATCAGGGAGGTGGAGGGAATTACTCTCCAGTAGGCTAGCATCAGACAAAAGAAGGCAAAAAGTTTATTTAACATGATTAATAGAGAACAGGTTCGTTTAAGAGGCGTTAACATTAACAATTGACTTCTTGACTCACTGCAGAGCAGATTGCATGGTGAGATGTTTAACCAGTTCGGAGTTGATTAGAACGTCTAGTACTTTTCGAAAATGGTAGAAGTACCGGACGCTTCTTAAAAAGAGGAAATGCAGATCCGAAACGAAGAAACAAAGTAACTATTGTAGATATTGGGGAGAAGAGAGGCACCATTTGTTAAGGATAATTGCAGGGATATCAGCAAATCTGAAGATGAATCGAGACCACCTAAGCGACAGCATTACCGAAAAGAGCTATAATAAAATGAAAGTGCTGTAGCCACGAGAAGATTTTCTCTCATTTGATTGACAGGATTAACAGCAAATAATAATCCGAAAAGACTTGCAAAGCGATTGAAAAACTGTGTCTTCAAGAAAGAATCAAAAGCATGTAGAACAAAAGGTAAAGAAATTCAGTTAAATTACTGCAGTGAGTTCTGGTGAATTGAGATTTGCTGTCGCTATTGAACTTCTCCAGTTACTCCAAAAATTTTAAAAACATTTTTAATATAAATAATGATCTTTTACATATTAGAAAGAATAAAATATTGAAAAGCAATAATAATAGTAATTATTATAATACGATTTACGTTTTAATACGTAAATAAAAAATCAAATTGTCTAGAAAATAATTATATTTGAGAAAATTTGTTAACATCTTAAATCGATTAAAACTTTCGTCATTGTTTTTGTCATTGAGGTTCAGTTCAGCAATTCTAACCACCATTTCAATGAGGTTATCATTTACCAGATCTGTACACTTACACATAACCATTAAAAACAGCACTTCGGCGTGGTGCAATGTTTAGCAAGCTTGTCTCGTTAATTCAAGTACGACTGAGTAGTGAGTCCGATACTCAATCGGTTCTCCTCACATTCGGTCTTTTCGCTTAGAAAATCTTTTCAGTGCAAGATTGTCTCGCTAGCACAATTACGATTGAGTAGTAAGTTTGGTCCTTACTGGGTGCCCTTTCGGCCGTGCGTCGCATCTAAGCTACGCTTAGAAAATCACCATAACCATTAAAAACAAGAAAATTGTTGGCAGAAATTATTCATTTAATTATATAATATTAAAAATTATATTTAACATAATATAATACCTGATATAATACGTTCCGTTAACCCAATTTCATGCACGAGGCTTGGTGTGGTTTGAACGCATTTTCCAAAGGTGCTATACTCTGATACTCTGGTTGCGACTCCTCAGTAGTCACCTTGCTGAAAAATCGACCACGATGAGACTCGAACCAGGGTCTCATGTCCAGAAAACGAAAGTTCTGACCAATCGGACAGACGTCCATTACGCTATGGTTGCGCACGAACGAAGTCACAAGTCATAGTGGCCGAGGATTTGAGTGTAATGCCATTGTTCAGACTGTAGATTACTTCAGTTTATCCCATCTTTCCCAGACACTGTAAGGTCCGCTCAGTATTATTACGGTATAAACCACAGGTGGGTTTCTGCCTGAGCAGGCGTCTGCAATAGAGATTTTCCAGCCGCCCTAGTAGACAGGACACGAGCAACCAGCCACCAATATAATATTTAAGATTTCAAATATATTTAATATAATATTTAATATAATATTAAATATAACACTTAATATAATATTAAATATAATTTTTAATATAATATTAATTATAATATTTAATATAATATTGAATAAAATATTTAATATATTATTAATTATAATATTTAATATATTATTTAATATAATATTAATTATAATATTTAATATAATGTTATTTATATTAAATATTATAATTAATATTATATTATATATGACATTTAATGTTATATTAAATATAAATTATGATATTTAATATAATATTAAATATATTTAATATCATGATAATTTAATATCTAATATAATATTAATTATAATATTTAATATAATATTAATTATAATAATTAGTATAATATTTAATATAATATTAAATAGTTAATATAATATTCATTATAATATTTAATATAAAGAAACAAAATGAATGATGTAACTCTTCCAATATTTTTCAACACTTTCGGTAGAGTACGCTTTGACCCTTTGAGTCCTGCGTTCCTGAGCAATTTTAACACTTCTTTCTGAGCTCCTGAGTCAAAATTCGCAAGTAATTGGTATGCAATGTTTCACGGTTGATATAAAAATATTTACAAGTGTTTACCCACCGTTCAACCGGTGGCTGAGCATTACGTCATTTTTCTCTAGCGCCAGTAAACAGTAGTCAGGAATCAAAGGGTTAAGAAAGGCAAAGACGTAATATTTAAAACGAGAAATAATATTTCAAGTGTATGACTGTCTTCTTCACATTATCCTTGAAAATTTATACAAGGATAAAAAATATGAAAAATCTATTTGTACAAAACTCTCTTGTACTGACTGTAAACCTGTCAAAGCGAGGGAAACCCAGCTAGCGTGAATGAAATGCAAATTAAACCTGCCTAACATGATGGGACGGGCTCATCTGAAACCTATCCGTCAATTATCTAGTTAGTAAAATCAATTAATCAAACAGAAATTTGCCATTAATTACATTAACTTTACTGATTAATTCCTTTCATGATTACCTCTTTATAATATTATCTTTACTGCACCAATTAATATATGTATAAAAACTGATCCACAGTAGAAATTACAGGAAAAACTACTATGACATTACTCTAATAATTGGACAATATTGTCCATGTCACGTTAACTGACAAACACTTAAAAAAAAAAATTCGTGGATTTACCACATTACTATATTCATAAAAAATGTTCTCACCTTAAATATTTAAAATACAAATCTAGCGTTCCGACACTGCACGTTCCAAAATTATGTAACCGTTAATAAATAGCACATTCTTAAAAAATCATCATCCAGCCAACAATACGCTTATTTCCACTTGGAGCTAACCGAAATGGCAACAATATTAAAGCCTGATAACAAAAATGTGATGATTTTTTAAAGTACTAGCAGCACCGGAACTTCAAATCCATCCTACAAGTTTAAACATTAGGATCGCGTCATTCAACGAATAGTTAGTAAGTTAATGCTTTATTAAATTAGTTAGCAAAGAAATTTCGCCATTAATTACATTAACTATACTGATTAATTCTTTGAATGATTACCTCTTTATAATATTATATATACTGCACAATTTAATCCGGATAAATAACTGTTATATAAAACAAACAATAATATAATGAATGTAAAAGAAAGAAACATTCAAAGAAAGGAAAAAATTCTGGACCCAAGAATAATGACGGCAGGAATATTTGAAATTTTGAAAGGATAAATAAAAAGAAATGAAAGGCACAAAAAGGAAAATTAAAAAGGAAGACTAAATTTATAAACAAAATATATAACCAAAAATGCCAAAAAAGAAGAAAAAAATAAATTTGATTTGAAGCTAATAATTGTTTTTTTTTTCGATTAATAAGCACGTAAGATACAATTACCTGAAAAGTTAATTATTGAATATGCATCCGATAGATAAATATATATTCGTCGAATATATATATAGTTGTTTGTAGAGTAAAACAAAAGATTCCGAAACAAAGGTCCAGACTGTTTATTTTTCATTTAGTGACACAACATTCTACTTAATCAATTAAATAAAATGTCCAATCATGTAAAATCAGTTGAGATTTTTGGGCTATTTACAGATCGAGTCCATTCCTTAATACATTTTATATACACAAGGGAAACATGAAAATATTAATCCTTTAATAACCAAGCCTACTTATATTCTTCATTTTCTTTTTTTGTTGTTTTGAAAGGTTTAAGAAAAATTGCGGATCGATGCAGCCATAGAGGTTGATATGCCGTTAAACAAAAACAACCAACCAAGTCTTGTAAGAAAAGCACAAATCATTTCACATGACTGTTTTTCTGTTTAATATGATAATAGGCTAGAAATGGATAAATAACCCGTAAAGACTTGATAAGCCATAAAACAACATGCGTTTCCATATTTACGAGTAGTTGTGTGATTTCAACAATATAAATCTGTTCCCCACAGTTTTTCAAATATCTCCATTCCTGAAAGAATTACTCCTTTCCTAAGCCAAACAAAAACTGTTAAAAAAATTAAGTGAAAACGTTAAATTCATAACATCGTATTATTTAAAATATTTAATACCCCAGATAGCCTTTTTGCCACAGACGCAGCGTCGTAAGACTATAGTTACTCTATCGCCATTGCCTCTGCATATATTGAGATGAGCTCTCTTTTATATTTACATAATTTCAATTATTTACTGGTACGCCATGCGGAGTCAATATACCTTAATTTAATCCGTATTTAAAATTTACGTAGAAAATCTTATCAGAAACATTTACCCTAGACCTGCTACTTTGTAGAATAGAGATCTGCGTGTTTGCTTCCCTGAAGTCTTTAATCCCGGTTTATTTATGTCAAGGGTCAATCGTTATCTAGCTTCCTTATAATGTCTTCAGGTGGAAATATAAAAATACATTAGAAAAAATTACAAGCAATATATTTTCATAGTAAAAAGAGAAATTAAAAATTACCAGCAATACATTTCATAGTAAAAAGAGAAATTAAAAATTTCTAGCAATACATTTCATCGTAAAAAGAGAAATTAAAACATTACCAACAATACATTATTTTCAAAAACAAAATATTACCAAATCTCCCAAGGAAATAAAATGTTCGCATTAAATTTCCCATAAGGAATTGATACGCCGTTAAACAAACCAAACCAAACCTTATGATCCTCACTTACTAACACACCGCCTTTCACTCATGTCACACCGTATCTTTCTTTATCATTGACCTTCTAACTTGACTGGCTCTTGTGCTTTGTACTGGGTGAACTTTAAGTAGGAAAAAACATGTATTACTATAGCTGGTAGGTTGTGACCACAAAATGTGCCACCTTTTGTAAATTTGATTAGCGATGATAACAAATATTTGCGATAAAGTTGAATAGAGATGAAATAACAGTCTAAAATGAAATTGAAAATATTGACGTGAGAAGCAAATGTCTCGCTTTAATAATTACAGGAGATTACAGCGTTAGTAAAGATAAGTATAGATTGATTGACCAGCAAGCAAATATATGAAGAAGCTGGTATTGAAAATAGAAACGGGGAGAGAAGATGCAGATGGTTAAGAACATTGGTAAAAGACAGGAAATAAAAAAACAACCACCCTCTGTCAGTATCATAAAC